CCTGTAGAAACTCATAAGCATGACTAAGCATTTAACAGTCTAACTAGACATCCTATCTCCACTAAACATTTCTAATACATAAAGTATCTATCCAATTTCTATCTGACTAAAAATACCTAACAGGATAATCACCTTTATTGGCCGAGTATGTTACACACAAGGAATTTGTTTCCGGTACAGAACCGGGGGTTTAGGGGTTGACCTACTCACACTAAATGACCGATAGGATCACAAACTATTGAAGGTTGCACCCCTGGCCTGCGCGCAATTCCCGCGCACACACCCTCTTGTTCATATCCGCCGCAACGGCTCGCAGACCCTCGCAAGCTTCGGCTTGCAGGTGAGCAGCTTGCTTCATAGCAATAATTTCGGCGTGAAGATGCTCCATTTTGCGAAGCAGACCACATACGTCCATTTTGGTGAAAGTCACTGGTGGCAGCTCATCTAAGTAATGAGACACAAATCTAGGGATATCCTCCCCACATTCATTCAATAGCTTGAGGCATGCTTTAACGTTGTTAACGTCTTTATGCACTCCTTTATAAGAAACATTACGCCGGGTAGTGACACAAAGAGCGTTTTCTTGGAGGCCTCAATCCACTCCGTATCAAAGGTGTTGACTGCCAGCAAAACGATCTCATCCTGACTTAAAGTTCTTATTTTTACAGAAAGGAAGTGTAGGACATCATCCTCTACTATAACTTTGCCATCAGTTGTTGTATAAATCTCAGGTTTAAGAAGACCCTTGGCAAACACCGGAGCTCCAGGTGCATGTGCTGGTGTTGATCCACCATCTTTTTCACTAGTGTGTGATCAGGAAAAGTTGCCCATCTATTTGCTCTTGTTTTTAAGGATGATATCACTGATTATGACACCAATTTACTGTAAATTTTGGATTACATAAAGTTTGTGTGCAAATTTACAAGAGCCAGATCTTCATTTCACATGAAAACTACACAGCTGCGGTTGTTGAAGCCACTTTGTACCAGACAACATCTGAATTCATTGCTAACCTTCCTCATCATTAGCAATGTTTAACTGTTATGAAAAATAGCAATTGTGACTTAATCTAATATGTATTAAAGACACATGAAGTTTCCATCATGAAAAGGTTGTTCAAACTACAAAAAACAAGTACATGAAGAGATTTAACTGTATGATGGGAAGTGTAGTTCTGATTTCAGAAAAAATTAAAACTGTATTTTAATAGAAAATTACTTTTTTTTCTTTTTTTTTTCTTTTTTTTTTACAGTGAAACAGTTTCATCTATTAAACAGTAAATATTTCAAAATTTGACAATGAAATTGCAATAGAAAGTTTTCTTTGGAAATCTTATAGTAATTAAGGGTTTACAAAATGTTTTTTTTGTTTTACATTAGACATGTAACTTCATAGTATTTTCTCGTAATTTTGTTATTTTCATGTATTATAAAAAATAGAGGAAAAATCTGTCATACTACAGTTATGGTTTTGTACTAAACTTGTTATAATCAGATCTCAGCTGACCCCAGAATAGTGCACCTTGAAGGTTTTAAGAAATAAAAATACTTTGTAAAACTCCGCTCTCACGTGCACAGCTAATTGAGACAAACTACAGCCAAAAGGCATGAAAGGCAGCGAACCAGAATGTCACATGCCAGAGGAGATCATCCATGCTCACAGGTGTTTTCAATTCCTCTGACTAATTAGACCTCCTGTTCAGGTTGAAAATGGGGGAGGCAATGCAGAGAACTACACATACTAAGAAGGATGGTGATTTAAAGAGCTCCAACTTAACAAGTGTAGCAAAATGAGTGGGAGAGCCCGTACATGCACAGACAGCCCCAACAAGGCCCAAATAGGCATAAGTGAAAATACCTCTGTGGGATTAATCAATTATTACCATATGTTTTCTGTATTTTGGAGGAGACAGTCATGTCACATGGTCAGCTGAACTCATTGTACACCATCGTTTTGTGTCATGTGCACAAAAACTACCATGTCCCAGTCCCATACTACATACGTACTGTACACAGGGTGTGCTACTAACTCCTAACAGTATTCTGTTTATTCAGTTAGTATTTAAGAAATCCAGATGCCTTTTTCAGACAGGACATTTAGACATGTCACAGTAGAAAATAATGCATTTATCTGTTTCATTTTTGTATTGCGCATACTGGATCAATATCACACTGTCTTTTCTCAAATAAAACTGACATTATTAATGTTTTTAGTAACATCTGTGCTTGTCCCGCTAAAAGAAAAAATGTCTACTGTGATAAAGTACTATATGCGTCATCATTTTGTATTAACGTGGAAGATGTACATAGTCTCATTCTGAGATTTTGGAATGTCACTGCCAAAAAAAAAAAATGAAAGAAATCAAAATGATGATCAGAATTATTTCAACGCTATCCACAATTTATTAAATTTTTTTAGCAGCTGATAGCAGCTTCTCATTTTCCTTTGTGCATTAAGTTGTGGGACAACAGTTCATCAACAGCACATGCAAAATATTTTAAATATTTTTGCATATTTACTTTTTGAGTGCACTTAATTTTGTCACCTTTCTAGTGCAAGCAGACAACATGCTAAACCTGCTTTAATTAAGTCTGTAGTACTGATCTGTGACAGATTTAGCACTGGTGGCTGGTGCAGTCCCTTGAAATCCCATTGTAGGTTTTTCTTTTTGACCATTTAAGTTATTTTAGTAACTTGATTTATAGCTGAATTAAAATCAAAGAGACTCCATTTGGTGTTTTGCACTAATTTCAGTCACAGCTCAAATGCTAACAAGTCAAGATATTGTCTAAAATAAGACCTTAAGAGGCATTTTAATATGGAAGGTCATGATCTGTGGCTACAGTCTACCGAAGGAACTGTGGCATGTTTCTACAGAGGTCTGCATGCAGGATCTCTCCAGGATGCATACTACCTGGGATGACACCATAGTACACACTTCCAAGAACATTAAGTTATATTACACAATTAGACAATTTAGACCAGACTGTAAAGTTTTATGAAATTTCCACTTTGTGTTGTATCAGGACTGATAAGACTGAACAAAGCACTTTCAGTCAATTTGTTGTCAGACAATGCAATACTGATTTTGAGCATAAGATAAAACAAGAGAAAGAGGACATATTGTACAATCTCTCAAGCATGAGTAATATTCAGTGGTGAGGCATCCTGAGCAGGCCTGCTCCATAATCCAGCTTTATGCTGTCTCCTCACTAAAAGCTTCACCCAATTACTGGTCTCCAGACAGCTCCAGTCTTAAACTACCCCTGCTCCTCTTTTGGCTCCGCTACAGCCTCATTGTCTACTGGCTTATGAAATTTTGAGTGCTCAGCAGAGTGAACGAACAGTAACACACAGAGAGTATAAGTGTGCGCGTCTATGAGAGTAAAGGAATTGAAGCACTCAGGAACCACTCAGTCAGCCCATAGTCCAAGAGTAACCAGAAGTGGGTGGTACCAAGGGAAAATTGTGAAATTGTGTTAAAATAGCCAGTTGGGGTGTGTGTGTGTGTTTGAGAGTATCTTAAAGAACACAACTACGCCACCTTGTGGACCAGGACTGTCAGGGCTGTCCACAAATTGTCCTTCACCTGTGAGAGAAAAGATTACAAATCATTTATGTGTATACTTTGTAGCACTTACTGTTTTTAAAATGTGATTATACACAACAACACGCCACCATTTCGGAGGAATGAATTCACATGTAAAGCTGGTCAAATGGCCACTTTTTATTTTATGTATATACTCCATATAAAGTATGTCATTTGTAGATTCATTTAAATCGTAAAGCATCTGGCTGAATTCATTAGAGCTCCCAGTTCCTGAGGTCTCCTAAAGGCACAAAAACTCTTAAATCTCTCATCACCAGAAAAGATGCTCCTGAGCTTTTCAAGGATACCACCTATATAAATCTAGAAGATAAAAACCCTTTAATGATACAACAAAGTTTTCAGTAAAATAAAAAAGGGGAAAGTGACATAGAAAAAGTACACTGTACCCTCAAATCCTTCAGGATAATGAATTATATTAACTTTTCCTTTAATCTCTGCCCTTATCTTAAATTATAGTAAGAAATGTATGCTGATAAGGAAATGTTTAATCTCTGTGCCAGCAATTATGTTTTTCTGACTGTTATTAGCCTTGATATTAGTTGGAGGAAAACCAAGGCCATTCTCTTTGGTTTGTCATTGCACAAGACCCAGGAACTTTCCAGTGTCTATGAATGTTCATGTATGTAATTGAAAGTGACCCCTAAAACTCATGTGATTACTTTCAGTGTAATGCAAATGTGAAACTGATTTTAAATGGTGTAAAAGTATTATTAAACGTCCCTTACATTTTTGTTTTTGTTGTTCAAATAAACTCAAATAAACACGCCAAAGATATTTAGGAAAAATGTGTTCTTAACAGCTGAACAGTTCATCATAACCACTGCAAACTGTATATTGATCTGATTAGCTGAGTGACGTCCTTAATGAAAACTTAACTGGATTTATTGACATGATGACGAGTTCGTCTAACGGCCCTAGCTACCCCCATTTGTATTTTATAGGTATTCCGCAGTTTAAATGTGTGTGCTAAATGTTTAATTCTTACTTTTCAAATTTAATTTTAAGGTCTTGGGGATAAAAACTTTCGTGGAAACGACGAGAAACGCAGCCCACCTGCTCTAATGACGGTTCAGAGACGTAGGGGTTGAGACCATTCTGATGCCTTCATGTACATTTGGATATATAAAAGTTTAGCTCTTTGAAATGCACCAAAGAATCCACCCAGTGCTAAATTCTAAGAATAATTAAGTTTTCTATTCATACACATATTTATCATAATTCATTTTAAGTTATTCACAAGCTACGCACACACCCTACTTGGTGTTAATAGTTGTAATTTTAGCTTCATTATTTTCTGTCATTCTGTACGAGGTGTACCTGGACGTCTCATGCTAACTTTCTCACAGGGTTGCAAGACAATCACCATACAGCAACATGCGCAGGATGGCGGAGGAGGTACAACCTGCCAATGAGCAGAGGTGAGTTGTCCTCCTTAAAAACGCTTCATATCGTGGCAATTATTTTTAAAATATAGCGCGAACGTAGTACTTTTTAAAGTAATATTATACAACTACATTGGGTTTTTAAACTATTACTGTGCCCAGGAGTAGTGGTATTACACCTGCACTCGGACAGTTGTTAAAATCGTGTCACTTTAATGAATAAGAAACTACTGGTTTATTGGAAGATACCCGAATATGACTGAAGAAGAGTTAAGACAGGATATTTTTTGGCGTTTGGGCAGAGCCTACAAGCTGGCAGACAAAGGTTTTTAACTCTTTCACTTGCATTTTATATGTGTCGAATTGACTATGGATTTTTTTCAAGTTTTGAAGTCGTCTTTACCAAGAAGACGTGTCATTAGGAAAGCAAGTCATTACATTGACACTTTAATTGGACATACGGGTCTCGATCATACCAATTATCTGGGCTTTGTTCTATCGGTTGCAAGCTATCAAGTTTTCTAGAAGGAAGATTCAAGACAGGACACTGCCAGCAGCGCTGATAACAGAAATGTTCAAAGTTCAACTTATTGTCACAGCTTATTATCTGTGTTTGCATGCACAACGTGTTATGTCTCCTTTGCTGCATGTTTGTCGCCTGAATCACAGCTCCTGGATATCAAGCTGGCTTCCCTCTTGGTGCCCCACATCTCCCTCTCAGCTAAAGGATGCAGAAGAAAAAATGCTCAACAG